TTTTTCTTTAATTTTTCTTTTTAAATTACATTTTTGTATCCCATTCCAAAACACGAGACACAGCCTGGAAGCACAACTTCAAACAGAAAAAACAGCAAAAACTGAGGGAGAAGTTAATTTTTAAAAAAAAACCTGAGTACAGTCTAAACATCTGGTTCAGGTTTTTTTAACCCTTTTGTTGTCCCTGCTGGATGAGCAACACTGGGATTTTTTCCCTGCTGGTTAAGGATGAAAATCAAAAGTTCTTGATGAATTTTCCAAAGAGAAAATTTTGAGTCAAGCAAAATATTTGAGAAATTTCCCCACTTTTCAGTTGGATTCCAGTTCCTTTATGGGTCCTGTAGGGAATTAAAATGCAGGTAAAATTAGCAAGTGGTTTGGAAAGGATTGACATTTCCTGCTCTGCACAAGGAGATATTTTTATGTATGGGGTTGTTTCGTAATAATAGAGGAAAAAAATGAAGATATCGTCTTGTTTCAACCTTTCAGCTGCATTTCTGGAATTAGGAAAACACCCCAGGGAATAGTGAGGGATGTTCAGGGATCCAGTCCCTCCTCAGGGGTGGCTGTGCCAGTGTCTGGCTGATTCCTTGGCACCCCTGGGTGCCCAGGGGGGTTTGGGTTTGGGCTCAGGTCTCACCAACCTCCTCCCTCCCCTCCCACCCATCCTGGTGGCAAAGCTATTTTGAATCCAAGATGAATCAACTCCTCTCTCCCAACCGCTTCATCTCCCAGAAATGTCATATATTTATTTAAGCAACGTTATTTTCTCGACTCAGAAGCTTCCAAGGAAGCAGATTTCCCTGGTTTTGGGGAAGGATTTTGTGGCTGAGGCCTGTAGGGCTTGGCTGCAGGAGGTTTTAGGCACTTCTGGCTCATTTTAGGGGCTTTTTTTTTTTGGGTAAAAAATGGGTGGGTGCTCTGGGAGGTGCAACTTGCAGCTGACCTTGAGCAAGTTCTCCTCGACTGGTTGTCAGGGAAGGATGGGGAGATGTATCCCGGTTTTCCACCCTGATGGAGAGAGGGAGACATCCCATCCCTGCCTGAGGAACAACACAAAGCCGCTTTTTCTGCTCAGTTCTGGGTTGTCAGGTCAGAAATCACAGTGACCCAAAGGTCTCTCAGTTGACCTGTTGGACCAGTTTGCACAGTTGGGATGGAAAAAGTGCTGCTGGAGACCAGGAAGTGTGTGGAGGGAATGGCAGGGAGAGGAGGGAAAGGAGGTGCTTTTTGGGAAGAGCCTCTTCCAGGTGCCTGTTCACGGCACCTCTGCTCGGAATTTCTCTGTGGGTTTGGCTCAGCATGTAAAAAAAAATCCCCCTGGAAAACCTTTCCCTAAATGCTCCTGGTTAAAATTTAAGAGGAAAAGCCTTTGTACAGCAGGGGTGTGACGTGGCCTGTGTTCTGCCTCCGTGTCCTTTGGGAATTCAGTCTGGAAAATCAGCTGGGGAGACCTGGGATGTGTCAGTCCCAGTTTTTGGGGCTAGTTTTTGTGAGGATAGAGCTCTCCTGTGGGGAATTATTTCTCATCTGCTTGTTCTTCACTTCCGTGCATCTTCTCTCTCTGTCTCTCTCTCCATCCCTTAACTCTCTCCCACTGAAGTGGGATTCAGTGGGACTCTCCAAGTGGTAACTCTGGACTCTCATTGATGGATTTCTGGTAACTTTTTGTGTGCTGAGGGCAGAAATCTCCATTGAAATCCTGTTTTGTTGCCACAAGTGAACAGAAAACCAAATCTGTGGTGTTGCCAGCATTTGATACCGTCAATGAATTACAAAGGGAGGGAAGTCTGGGCTTTGATTTCCCCGGCTCTGAGGCTGGACAGACATGGAAAATGACCTTGGGCATGCTGGAAGGAAGATCTTGGAGATTCCAGTGGTTTGTTTCAGAGTTGAGGAGACAGGGGAGGTTGTTATACCGGTCTCTTGTCTCTCCAGCATGGAATGAGAGCCCAAGATGTGTGAAAAGATAAATAATGGAAGTGTCCAAGGCCAGGCTGGACAGGGATTGGAGAACCTGGTCTGGTGGAAGGTGTCCCTGCCCATGGCAGGGGGGTGGAAGAAGATGATCTGTAAGGTTTGTCTCAGAGATGAGGATAAAAAGATCTTAAAGGTCCCTTCCAAGCCAAAGCAGGCTGTGATTCTGAGGCAGCTCAGTTCATCCCTCTGGGAAGTTGTGTGTCAGAGATTGCTCCAAGCAGGGAGGCTAAACCAGGGATGGAAAGGGTGACCAAGCCTTGGCTTGGTTTGGGCGAAGCACAGGAGCAAGAATCAGGGCTCACAGGGACCACTCTGCCTCTCACCTCCCCTGAGGCTCCAGCAGGTCCCTGCTCTCACCTACAACCTGTTTCCCTTCACCCAAAATGTGCCCATGAGCAGAGGTGCTCCTGCCACACGTTCTCCCTGTGCCAGCCAGGGGGGTGAGCAGGGCTGCACCAGCAGCTGCAGCTCTGGAAAACACTGCCAGCCCTGTGCCCAGAGCCAAGGGAGGGTCTGCAGCCCACTGACAGCTCTGACAGCACTTGGGGCTGCTGGGAAACAAAGACAGGGTTTCTGTGCAGAGCTAGAGATCAAAAAAAAAACAGCTTAAGGAGCTCTCAGATGGGGATGAAGTTCCCTCCCAGGAAGGGGCCCTGGCCAAGCTGCCCCTGGGTGTTCCAGCTCAGGCAGCTCAACCCCCAGTGACTTCCTCAGGCTCCACATTCCCTTGGAGAGTGGAAACACCGAGGTTTGGCTGATATGGTTCCAGGTTTGGTTGATATGGCTCTGGACAGGAACATTTCCAAACAGCTGGTGAGAACTGAGGAGCTGATAAATCACCATGTTGCTGAAGGAGAAGAAACCCCTCCTTTAAATGTGTGTCTCAGGTTATCAGCAAGGCTTGGAGAGTCTTTCCCCCTGTCAGCACGTCCATGCTCTGCTGCCAGAGGTGTTCAGGGGAGCCCCAGCTTTCCAAAGCAATCCCTTGCTTACCAGAATGATGAATTTACCCTGTGAGAGGTGGCCCTGGATGATGATGGGGGAAGGAGTAGCTGCCAGGTCTGAAAATCTTGGGAGATGCTGATCCTGAGGGACTGTTCCACGTTTGGATTGAAAGAACGTGGTGGCAATCACAGTTCTGCTCACGTTAATCCATGGGGAAGGTCTGGATGGGGCTGTGTAGCTCATTGACTGGAAGGGAAGTAGGAGACAAGGATGCCCACAGGGCAAGGAGGGAAGAGCCTGAACTCAGGGCTCTCCAGTGGGAAGGATGTGGACACCTTTACCTTTTAGCAGCCAGTCCCAAGCTGCCTCAGGTGCTTGAGCCACATCACAGGGCTCAGCAGCCTTGTTTCCAAGGTGGTCCCATCATGGGCCCACTCAGGGACTGCACATCTCCTGTACAGGGCCCTCCTTGTCTCTGGAAGTGCCTCCCTCACGTCCCACTCCCCAGCCAGGCCGCCTGCACAGCTGGAAGAGGCACAGCTGGAAGGGGCACAGCCACGTGCAGGATGGAGCTGGAGATGCAAACCCTTCATCAGCTCACCTCCTTCAGCACTGCCAGCTCCCATTTGTTGCTGTCCTGTTGTAGCACCAAAATTTAGGTGAAGGCAACCGGTGTAGGAAAGGGTGGAGGAGGTGGAGTTGTGGTTTATCGCTGCTTTGGGTACCAGCCACGTGTCTGGAGCTGCAGCATCACTGGAGACTGTCAGGAGCAGGGCAGCAGGCTGGGAAATGGGTTCAGAGGAGCATCCCAACTGGCTGCTTTTGGCAGAACTCCTTGTAGGATTGCGGTGCAGTGCTGGCAACCCCCTTGTTTAAGCACTGGAGCCACTGTGGTGTCTCAGCCCTGCTCCTGGACAGGAGCTGAGATCCAGGAGCTGCATTTTAGCACACAAAAAGTTCCCCCATGTCTCAGTCTGGGTGTTTGAAGGGCTGGCAGAGGGGAGGGCGGGGTGGGGGGAGGAATCCTGAGCCACCCTCACGGCGAGTGTTTCCCTCCCCAGCGCCTGGTGAGGATGAACATGCCCATCTCCCCCGAGGACCTGACCGTGCACTTCACATCCACGCTGATGGCCCTGATCAGGACTGCCCTGGAGATCAAACTGGCCTCAGGTGAGAGGGAGGGGGTGGCACAGTCATCTGGAGGGCACAGCAAAGGAAACAGGGGCAGTTCAGCTCCTTGGCACCCTCTGTGCCGTGCCATGGTCACACAGGGATCAGGGAAGCTGGAGCCACATCCAGGCTTGGACTTCATTATGCTGCAGTAGATTTTTGTACACAGGAAAAAACCCAACCAAAAGCAGTGCCCTGTGTAGCCTCTTCCAGAGCTTTTCCATGGCTTTGTCAGCCTCCAGCCTGTGCTTTCAGGATGAGAGGAGTTTTTACCATCTGAGCTCTGGAAAACCAGGAGAAGACAATTCCAGTTTGCTGAGAGCACACGTGGCTCAACCCCCAGCTCATCTGCTGAAACCATGGGTGGAAATCCTGTTTTCCTATTGCCAGCCTGGCATCTGCCAACACCTGAGGGCAAAGGGAGCCTTGGGGGCTGGCACAGAGGGGTCCTGAGCACCACTGCTGCATGGCATCCCTGGAGATCAAACTCACCTCAGGTGAGGGGAGGGGGATGTCTGAGGGGATGGCACAGTCATCTGGAGGGCACAGCAGAGGAAACAAGGGCAGTTCAGCTCCTTGGCACCCTCTGTGCCATGCCATGGTCACACAGGGATCAGGGAAGCTGGAGCCACATCCAGGCTTGGACTTCATTATGGTACAATAGATTACTTATACATAAGAAAAACCCAACCAAAACCAGTGCCCTGTGAAGCCTCTTCCAGAGCTTCTCCGTGGCTTTGTCAGCCTCCAGCCTGTGTTTTCAGGATGAGAGTTTTTATCATCTGAGCTCTGGAAAACCAGGAGAAGACAATTCCAGTTTGCTGAGAGCACACGTGGCTCAGCCCCCAGCTCATCTGCTGGCTTGGTGTCATCTCAAAACCACAGGAATTCTGCTCCAGGTGGAAATCCTCTTTTCCTGTTGCCAGCACCCGAGGGCAAGGGACCTTTGGGGCAGGGACAGAGGCATCCTGAGCCCCTCTGCCTTTGGGGTGGCTGCATCCTGGGGATGAGACATTGGCCATCCCAGTGGAGAGCTCTCAAAAGAGAAGAATCCTTGTGTGTGCTCATTGCTGTTCAACAGGAATGAGAATTTCCACACCCCTTAACTATTCCAGCACGGGGGAAAGCCAGCCCTTCCTTCCCAATTGCTCTCTGCTGGCAGCCAGGCACTGACTCCAAGTGCCCTGAACCACATTCTGCCTTGAGATAAAATTATTTAAGTGTTTAATCAGGCGTTTACTTGACTTCCCAATTAAACTTTGTAATGTAATAAAACACACTGGCCTTTTCTCTGGGTCACTACAGCATTTAATCAGCCTGGCTGGGGTCACAATCAAGGCATGCCTGGCCCCAGCACTTTTATGCCTAATTTAAAAGTTAACAGGAGGTAACAATGCTCTTATGAGCACAGGGCAAGGCAGGGTTGGGGTTTGTGCTTTCCTAAGCAGTTTTAGGCCAGCACTCCAACCTCCCTGTGTTAATCACCTCCCTCACGTGTTGCTTAAACTTGGATGCTTTGGGTTGGCATTGCTGGAAGGAGACAAACTTTGGAGGTCACTGGGGCTCCCTAAGGGAGTGAAACTCGGGGAGTGATGCTGAGCATCAGACACTCATTTCTAAGGATGCCTTTAGGATTTCCTGGGACTTCAAGGGCCAGCACTTTATTTCAGGAATAACTTCTAGCTGAGGATGCTGAGAGTTTGTGTTATTTTCAGCTTCTAAGTTACCTGGTAACTCAATGGTAACTCAAACAGCCTTTTTAACTGGAAAAGGCTCCCCCCTTCCCCTCCCTTTTTTTTTGGCTCTACCCTGGAAGAAACCAGAGAAGAGAGCTCAGCTGATAGCACTGGATTCCTTCTCTGCTTTCTCTCTGCTGTGGGGTGTGAGGTTTTGACCTGTTGTGTTGTTATGAGCTCGTTTGAATGGGTTTCATGTGCTACATTTAATTGAATCTTTAGTAGGACTAACAGGCCCTTAATAAACCCTCCCTAATGAGCTGCTGTGTGGGAGTTCAAACCACCGTGTAACAGAGTACCCAGAGCCTCCTCCCAGTACTTTTCTCTTAGAAAAATAATCTCTGTCATTCAGATGAACTAGTTAATTGGCTCCTGTGCAGAGCATTCAGCTGGGAGCTGCCCTGTTGGCTCACACAGCCTTTAATCACTTCCCACTGCTGCATTAAGGCCTCGCTTTGCCCCTTTGAACAGCTCAGCTCTGTTTTACCTTGAGATGGAGCTGCTGGTACAGAACAACCCGCTCGTGTCTCGCTGCCAAAGATTTTGGGAAGAGTCGGTGGCAGAGAGGGTTTATCACCCCTCATGGCATTGCTCATGGAAGGTGTCCCTGCCCACGGAGCTGGAGGATCTTTAAGGTGCTTTCTGACCCAAATCATTCCATGATTCATGTCCAACACCTCCTTTGCATCCCACCTGGGAGGTGCTGCTGCTTCCTGGAGGCGCTTCCCAGCGCCCTAAAGCAGGAGGCACCTGCAGTCAGGTGGAGCAAGTTTGAGCTTAAGTTTAAGCCCCAGGTAAGAGCAGAGGGTCAGCAGGTTGAGGTGATGATGGTCCTGCTGAATTCACACACTGTTTTCATGGAGGGAGCCACCAGTTCCCTTCTCCACATCTGCTGCAGCTGTGCTGGCTCCCCCTTCTCAAGGAATGGAAGGACGAGGATGCAAATGCTGGGATGGGCTGCCAAAACAAGAGTTTTCACTCTCCTTCCTGTGCCTCTCCCCCTCCCCTCCCTCTCTGCAGGTGGAGTTAAACAGCACCAGTGTGATGCTGAGCTGAGAAAGGAGATCTCCCTGGTTTGGCCCAACCTGTCCCAGAAGACTCTGGATTTGCTGGTGCCTCCTCACAAACGTAAGTGGTTCAGCAGCAAGCACTGGATCCATCCCAGACACTCAAGAAGCCCAGGAAAGGTTTCCCCCTCCTTGTCTGAGCTGTCCCAAGCCCCATCTGGGCACACAGTTGTGTGGAATCAGCTTCTTGGCATCCTCTGTGCTGCCATGCCGTGGGCACACAGGGATCAGGGAAGCTGAGGTCACATCCTGGCGTGGCCTTCACGATGCTACAGGAGATTTTCTGTACACAGGGGAAAAGAACCCCAAAACAGTGGCAAGAAGGCCAAGAGTGTGGCCTTTTCCAGGGCTTTTCCATAGCTTTGTCAACCTCCAGCCTGTGCCTTGCAGGATGGGAGAGCAGTTTCTCCCATCTGAGCTCCAGAAAACCAGGAGAAGAAAATCACACTTTGCTGAGAACTCAGAGAATCAGAAGTGAGGTGTTTGGGGGCTAAAGCCCTTGTGTTGATGATGCCCTGGGAGAATGTGCTGAGAAAATGGAAAGTTTGCCCAGCCAAGGCTTCTGAGTTCCTGATTAATGAGGAGCAGTGCAGAGCAATAAGGGCGCTGTTAATTAAGAGAAATGAGGTTGCTGAGGAGGTGCAAATCAGTGGGCAGTGACTGCTTAAATCTTTCCCTGCCCTCTGTATCTGCTGCCCCAGCTCCCTGCTCCATGGTGAGTGCTCCAATGCTGTGTTGGGAAGGGCTGGTTCTGGGTCTCTGAGGGTGGAAAAAGACATCTGGAAAAATGAAATGCTCTTTAAATGTTTATTTAGCCCATTATGCCCAGGTTGCCTGTAATTCAAACAAAGAGGAATAAGGCTTTTTTTTTCTTGATAACAAGCTGGCTGTGGATCTGGCCTGATTTTAGCAGTTCTCTCAGCAATGCTTACAATGCCACAGAGGTTTCCTGCCTGGTTTTTGCTACGTGATCTCTGTGTTTGATCTCAGATGGGAGACGCAGCAACAGGCAAAGAGCTGAAGAAGTCAGTTGTAACCTTTTCCTCATAATTTTTTTCTTTCCCCTACTTTTCTGTGTCTGTTCTGCCTCTTTATTCTGATGTTTCTTCTCCCCCTCCTTGTTTTTTGTACCCGTTTGCTGTTATTTTTTGTGCTTTTTGACTTACCCTGCGCTTCTCATCCTTGGAATTTTTTCATGTTTCGATATCTCACCCTCCTCTGGCAGCTGATGAAATGACTGTGGGGAAGGTCTACGCAGCACTGATGATATTTGACTTCTACAAGCAGAATAAGAACAGCAGGGAACAAGTCCAACCCCCCGGAGGCCTCTGCCAGGTACCCACCAAAAAGGTGTTTTACTCCATCCTCCCTCTTGGGCAGCCCCTTTTCCAGCTTTTAGAAGCTCTCACCAGCAAGTTTGATCCAGAAAGTCTGCATTCTTCTCTGGGCAGGGTTGGAAAATGCTGTCTCAAAAATCAAAACCCCTCCTGAAAGTCTCTCTGAAAAACTATTAAAAGAAATTGTTACAGTTGCCTTTTCCGGTAGATCCAGAAAGACTTTGTCCAAAAAATGTCAGCTGATGTTTGACAGTCTAAATCCTGTTTTCAGAAGTGGCCCAGGGACTGGGGAACACCAGAAGATTTCTTTGGTGGGGGTCAAAGAATTAGTGAAAGCTGATGATAGTTTGGCTGTAAAATGTTGTGAGTTGCTTTTGAAAATGGGAATTATTGAAAATCGTTTGGGCTCTAATGGGAATTACTCCAAAACATTTTGGCTCTAATAGATTTTAAGGTTTTTTGGAATTTCTTGGAAGTATTTCTTGAAAGTATTTCCACCCTGAGTTCTGCTCAGTTGGTTAAAACTTGGTGCTGATGATGCCAAGATCATGGGCCATTCATTTAAGAGTTGGACTCGATTATCCTTGGGGGCCCTTTCCAACTCTGAATATTCTGTGATATTGCCACACAAATGGCTTGAGATTGAAGCCCCAATGGTTTCCAGTAGGACAAATAGCTGTTGTTTTTAGGATGATCATCCAGCTGAGCTCCAGCACGGCACAGAGATCTGTCCTGCACGTGGGTGGCTGCAGCAGAGCCCGAGTCACAACCTGGGGGAAATCCCATCCCTGAGGGAAATCCCAGTCTGGGAGAACACTTAGAGGGATGGGGGATTGCAGTACAATGACTTGACTTGTACAAAGCTGAGGGCAGCAGGTCCTTCAGAGCCTCTCCCAGCCGTGGTTGGGCCAGGCTGGGCTTTGGGCTGGGCTGGGCTTTGTGCTGAGCTCATCTCCCAGCGTGGCAAAGTGGACTTTTGTTAAAAGCCCTTCAGCCCATGCCAGCTGTGTCTCTGACACCCTTCCCTTGTGCTTGGCAGCCTGGCCCAGTGTCCCTGTTCCACCCCTTGAAGGCCACCCTGGAGCAGACCCAGCCCACAGCGTTCAACAACGCCAAGGCTTTCCTGCGCCAGAAGAGCTCGGCCTCCCTCAACAACGGGGGTGCTCTGTGAGTATCCCCTGACCCCCCACAAAGCCCTCACTGGGTGTGTCCATCAACCTTGGTTCAGTGGCTCTGGAAGTGGGAACACCAAGACCAGCAGCCCCGTCAGACCGTGGCTGGGATGATTCCCATTGGTGGCTTCCAAAACGCCTCTGTCTGTCTCTGCTTCCCGCTGCTGCCTGGGGTGGAACACTGGGGTCTCCAGACCTTTGTGTTTCCTCAGTGGTCTCCCTTGAATCTTCCTTGCAGAGCTTTCCATTGTGGGTGGTTGCGAGTGTGAGTTTCCTCGCGGGAATTTGGGATAGTTGCAAAACAACCAAACAAACCCCAGTCCACCAGTGAGTTCCTGGGAGTCCAGGGGTCCTTGGGGACAAGGTCATCCCTGGAGCTCAGGGACTTGGTAACAGCAAGAGCTTCTTTAGACTTGCCACGACAGAATGTGTCTCTTTGGGCAAAATAATCCCTCCCCAGAGAGCTTTCCAAGCAGTTCTAGGAGCAGTGATCCCTAAGGAATTCTCCATTTCCTGCTCTCCAGGTGACTTTCCTCTGGGTCACACAACTGCTGTGGATTTTTAGGGATAGACATCCAAGGTTTCAACAACCCTGATGGGGCATTTTGGAAGCCACCAGTGGCTCAGAGTGAAACCCGTGGGTACCACTGGCCTTTGAGTGAATGTCCTTTAGTTTTGGTGTTTGACCACTGTCCAGCTTGTCCTGCTCACAGAATTGGCCTGAGCTCCAAAATTCTTCATTCTTCTTCATCAGGAATTAAGTCACAGAAATTGCTTTTCTCAGTTACTGGAAAAAAAAAATAAAAATATGACTGTTGTGATTTCCTTGTTCTCATGGGATCTTCAGGCTCTGTAGGATGGGATCCTGGAAAAAACCCAGGGGACCTGATAGTGTCACCAGCAGCTCTGGTTTCCCAAGTTTGCCACACTGCGAGTTCAGCAAAATCATCGTTGCGAAAGAGTGAATGTTTTTCCTTCCCTCTTTTCCTTCTGGCAGCCCAGCCCCAGAGGGTGGGATCAAAGAGTCCAGCTCCTGGGGGACCCAGCGCACCCAGGACGTGTTTTATGAGACCAGGACCCCAGCTTTTGAGCGAGGCCACTCCGAGGAGATCCCCATCGAACGGGTGAGCACGCGGGGGGCAGGTGGGAAGGCAGGGCATGGTGAGGGGCAGGAGATTCCACAGCTGTGGCAGGACTTTAGAAATCATAGAAAACGTTCAGGATACCAGGTGGAGAGAGGGTGACACGCATGAAATGGTAGATCTGCCCCGTGAGGCAAGTGTTGCTCTTACAACCCCAAATTTGCTTATGGGGGAAGACCAAATCCCAACATCTTCCACAGCCTGATAGCTGTGATGGGGACACCCTTTCCGTGGAATTCTGTCTTGCTGCAATGGGTTACCTAAGGTTCTCTCTTCCCATTATCTCAGCCCCAGTGTCATCAGTGTCCCAGCTCGGGTGAGGGGTTTCACAGGTCACAGCTGGGGCTCGTGGCTGCTGGAAGAGCCTGGCCCAGTGCTGTCCTTGCTGCAGAAAGCCCAGCAGACAGAGAGTAACCTTCTTCACAGCTCTTCATTTACTCTCTGTCCCATCCCACCATCTCCTCACGACGACATCCGACCTAGCAAAGCATGCTCAGGTGACGGCTTCAAAGCTCAGGTGATGGCTTCAAAGCTGATGTTCATGTTCTTGCTACTGAATACATGTCATGTTTCCATCAGGTGGTAGAAATGAGGGAAATCAGCCCCACAGTTGCCAATGGAGAGCCCCAGCCAGGCCTGGAGAGCCAGGGCCGGGCGGCCTCCATGCCACGCCTGGCTGCCGAAACCAAGGTGAGCGGGGGAGACCTCACTGCTGGAGGGGGCCAGGAACTCAGGGGCTGCTCTCTCTGCTTGTTGTGTTGCTTGTGGATGTTTGTTTTAGGAGATGTTTGCTGATCTGGAGACAGGAAGCCTTTATTCCAGCAGGTGTTGGTGTGTAGTCACAGCGCTGTCCCCGGTTTTACTCGTCCCTGGTTGCAGCAAAAAGCAGCCCAGAGGGATCCCTGTGGCTGGGGCTGAGGGCTGCCCACCCAAGGGTGTCCTCACTGACTGGGGGCAATGCCACTTGCCAGAGAAAGACATGTATTTCCCATTGCCAGCTGTGTGTCATCATCAGACAGCCCAGCAGGACATGCTCATGTGCCTTGGCCTTGAAAAAGTGAGGAGATGTGCTGTGAGTGTCTTAGATGAATGTAGGAGAGAATAGTAGGGAGCCTTGCCTGGAATGCTGCATTTGGACACTGAGCATCCTCCTGGTTTTTCCTCTTCCCACCATACTCAGCATGTGCTGTACTGTTCTTCTCCAGGGAAATGGTGTCCAGGAGATCCCTTGGGTAGCTTTTCCTAAAGAAATCCCATTGTAGAGTTACTTCTCCAGCAATTTGTGGACACTGCTTAGTGTGTAGGATGTCAGAGACCATTTCTGGCCATTCCACATGTTCATTGCTGACTGTTTGTCCCACTGTCCTGCCTCCTGTGTGTCAGAACATCTCCCCAGTCATGTTGTGTCTCATTCCAAGGGCCTGATGCATGATCAGGAGGGAGCAGCCTGGGTTTGGGGGCTGTTCCCATTGCTCTCCGTGGGAAGCAGAACATGAAAGAGCTGCTGCACCCTAAAACTGAAAGCTTGTGCTCTGCACACACAGCAGCAGCTCCAGCACATGGAATCTTTGTGCTCCCAGCAGGGAGCCTGTGCCTGGAATGCTGCTTTGGGACACTGAGCATCCTCCTGGTTTTTCCTTTTCCCACCATACTCAGCTCATACTCAACTCAAACTGTGAGTTTGGCCAGTGAAATGGTGTTGAGGATTTCCCTTGGGTAGCTTTTCCTAAAGAAATCTCATCAGAGAGTTGGCTTTTACAGCAGCTTGTGTCTGTAGGATGTCAGAGACCATTTTTGGCCATTCCACATGTTCATTGCTGACTGTTTGTCCCAAACACTCTCCAGCCACTGTCCTGCCTCCTGTGTGTCAGAACATCTCCCCACTCATGTCGTGTCTCATTCCAAGGGCCTGATTCATGATCAGGAGGGAGCAGCCTGGGTTTGGGGGCTGTTTCCATTGCTCTCCACGGAGAGAAATGGAAGAATGCAGCATGAAAGAGCTGCTGCACCCTAAAACTCAAAGCACACACAGCAGCAGCTCCAGCACATGGAATCTTTGTGCCAAGGTACCGGGGCTGGCACAGGCTGCCCTTCAGCAGGGAATCTCCCAGCTGGCTTCAGAAGCTGCAGCCTTTGTGTGAGCTGGGATTCGCTGCGTTATCAGGAGCACTCCTCAACATGCTTAATAAAAGCACCAGACCCCAAAGCAAACCCATCCTCCCTGCCTTCCCCCTTCCCAGAACAAAGTTATCCTTTATCCTGCAGCACCAGTAGCATCTTCCCGTGCTGGGGGATGCGGTTGGCAGCAGCAAGGCCAGCAACACAAGCCTTTCCTTGGGAAACTCCTCTCCGTGGCAGTCAGGTTTTGCAGAAGGGAGTGTCCCTGGCAGAAATGTGTGGTTTGTGTCCCCCCAGGGCATCGCTGCCCCTCGTGGAAGTGCCTCATCTGGTTGTGAATCAGGCCGGGAATCCCCCAGCAGATCTAACCTCATTTAATAATACACGTGTAAATAATACTGGTCGTGGCTTTGGGTGAATAACTGACGTACTTTCTGTGTGTGTCTCCCCCCTCCCCCCTCCCTCTCACATGCTGCTCTGCCCCTCCCCAAACTTTTGAGTTCTTTCTAACTCTCCTTTGCGACGCTTTCTGTTTCTGGCTGTTCTCCCTTTCTGTTCGCCCGCCGTTCCTCTGTCTTTTTTTTACGTTCCACTTTAAAAAAAAAAAAAAATATACCTTCCCCGTGTTTTCAACCTCCCTGTCTGCTGTCCTGCCCCCATCCCCTCCCTCCCTTGTCGTCATGGTGTCTGCTGCCCATCTGCCGTGATGTCTGACAATGGCTGTACTGTGGGGCTGCTTCCAATAATGTCTCTCATCTTGTCCGAATTGTTTGCAGAGGAGCAAAGCACGGTCGCCTGGGAGTTACCTGGCAGTATGTAGTTTGCACTAAGTTGTATATCCTCTTAAATTCATGCTAAGAAACGATTAACCTGCCTTTGAACCCTCTACTTTCTTTCCCCCCTTCTCATCTGGAGCCCAATGCAGCCGCTCCCTCTTCCCACTTTGCTGTTCCCTCGATCCACGGTTGCACGTCGCACGCTCTGGTAGCTGGGAGGGTGTGTTTATTTGGTGGTTTTGTTTATTTTATTTGTTTTGTTTATTTTATTTGTTTGTTTTGCTTTTTGTTTGATTCCATACGCCTCATTGCACGGGAATTTAGGGAGTGAAACCAATGGGTTTGGTAATGAAGAAGCAATTAGTGACTCTCAGTGTAGCCTCCTGAGGTTTTTTGGGAGCCCGTGCGTGCCCTGTTACCCTAATGAGGGCACTGCCAGGATTTATGGAAAGGGCATTCATTGCTTTGCCACTTCCCTTAGTGTCAGTGGGGAGTTCTGTGGAATAAGCACATAATTCCAGATTCCCTGGCAGAAGCACAGAAGCAGGACCAAACCCAAAGAGAAATGTTCATTTGTCATCAGTTTGGCTGCCTTGTTGGGAATTTTCTGTTACCTTCCTCCTGGCAGCTCCTATATGGAATTTTGAATTTTGAAAATCTGGAGAAGTGTTTTTAGTGGGAAGGACTTCCACTTGTCCCTTTTTTTGCCCATCAGACCATCCAGTTTACAGAACTCCCTGCCTTCCTCCAGCTTCAGACTCAGCAGGACAAACATGGAGCTCCTCAGTATAATTTAATGCCCACACACTGAAGGCCACAAGAGGTGACAAAAACAACTGCCCTTCAGTGGGAAGCACCAAAATTTGGGTGACTGCCCATATTGCACCTTTAGAGCCAGGATAATCTGCCTGTGATGGGAGGGAGGGTGGCTCTTTCCACTCAAAATAAGGAGCAGAGCTGTGAAACAACTGGTTTGGCACTGGGTAAATATCACAGGATATTCAGAGAGCTGAATTTCAGGATAAGCAAACAAAACAGAACAGACAGTAAAAATAATACAGGGCTCTTTGGAAAAGGTTACAGTGAGCAAAGTAAATGTTCTGCGAGGAGTGTTGTTGGAGGCACTTATTGGACTGTGAATTCAAACAAGTGTGAGGCTGAGGGAGCAGAGAACATCCTGAACTCCCTCCCTCTCAGACTGGACCACGGTGCTCTGAGATCTCTCCTCAGGGAAGCCTCCAGAGGGTGGATGAAGCACTGTCTCCACACAGAGCCAGCAGAGAAGGAGACATGGGAATGTTCCACTTTTTCTGAGCTTTCTACCTGGTGACTGGGCAGTGGGGAAGGCTGTGAGAATACCTGTCCTGCCACCTTGCCTTGGGTTCTGCAGAGCATCTTTGTAAGGCTTTGAACCCACAGGGAAGGGAGCAGAGTCTGGAGCTGCCCCTGGCACGGGGAGGGGGTCCAGCAGTGCCATGGAAGGCAGGTGACTGCGCTCAGTATCCAGATGTTTGGCCACAAATGATTGGAAAATGGGAATACCAAACCCGAGTGTTCATTTCTGGAGTTGTCCTGGTAGAATTCCAGGACATGCACACTCCCCTGCTTGTCCCAGCCACAAGGAGTGATGGTGGGACAAGAGAGGTTGAAATGTTGGATGGGATTGTCTCACCTGCAGGGAGGCAGAATTAATTTCTCGGTGGCTTAGCCTGTCCCTTGCCCACTTATCCCTGATCTTTCTCCCTCTCCCTGTGATGCCCAGCAGTGCTTTCATGCTTTGGGATGGCCACAAAGGCCCTGAAGCAGCTTTGGGTGAAACTAGTCTTGGAGGATTCTCTCTGTGAGGCGCTTGGCTACTGCGCTGTCCCCGTGTCCCTGCTGCCCTCCCGTGTCCCTGCTGCCCTCCTGGTGCTCCTGTGCCGCTGTGTGTGGTGTGAAGGTGCTGCCTGTGGCTCGTGGTACCCGTGGGTTGGCACTGTGCTGAAGTAAAGCCCATCTCAGCCCTCTGAGCTCACACCTGCCCCTCGATTCAGCGCTCGATCCCCCATCCCACGAGTCCTCCCGCCCGCTGTTCCTCTTATATCCAATTAACCATTTTTCTCCTCGCCCCTTTCTCTCGCTGACCCTCCCCACGGTGGGTGCCAGGCAGTGGGACAGGGGCAGCCCTGCCCTCACCCTGCTCCCTGTGCCTCCCTCTGCCTTGCAGCCCATCCCGGACACGAGTCCCATGAAACGCTCCGTGTCCACGCTGACCCCGCAGCGCCCTCATGCCATGCACCTCTACGAGTACTCCCTGGAGAGGATGCCCCCGGAGCAGGGGCACCACCACCACCACCACCGCTGCCACCGGAGGAAAGAGAAGAAGCAGAAGTCCCTGGACAGGGCCGCCCATCACTTGGCCGATGGACAGGCTGGTGAGTGTCTCCTGGCTTTGTGTGTGATCCCATGGGCCTTGTTGCACGGGAATTTAGGGAGTGAAACCAATGGGTTTGGTAATGAAGAAGCAATTAGTGACCCTCAGTGTAGTTTTCTGAGGTTTTTTGGGAGCCCGTGCGTGCCCTGTTGCCCTAATGAGGGCATTGCCAGGATTTATGGAAAGGGGATTCGTTGCTTTGCCACTTCCCTTAGTGTCAGTGGGGACTTCTCTCCCTGGAATAAGGCAGAAAGATGATCAAACCCAAAGAGAAGTGTTCATTTTTCATCAATTAACCCAAAGAGAAATGTTCATTTGTCACCAGTTCGGCTGCCTTGTTGTTGAGAATTTTCTGTTACCTTCCTCCTGGCAGCTCCTGTGTGGATTTTAAAAGCCTGGAGAAGTGTATTTAGTGGGAAGGACTTGACACTTTTTTTGCCCATCCAGTTTGCAGACCTCCCTGCCTTCCTCCAGTGTCAGGCTTGGCAGGACACACATGGAGCTCCTCAGTACAATTTAATGCCCACACAGTGAGGGCCACAGGAGGTGACAAAAGCAGCACAACAGGGTCCTGTTGATGGAGCTGGTGCAGCCCCCAGGGAGGCACCAGTGCCTGAGGTCAGACCTCATCAGGGTCTGCAGATTCCTCCTGAGGGGCAGCTCCAATCTCTGCTCTGTGTGAGCAGGGACAGGGCCCAGGGAATGGGTGGAGCTGTGTCAGGGCAGGGTCAGGTTGGATCTCAGGAGAAGGTTCTTCCCCCAGAGGGTGGTTGGGCACTGACCAGGCTCCCCAGGGACAGGGGGGCATTGTTGGGGTAAACTGTGCAGGGCCAAGAGTTGGATGGGATGATCCTTATGGATCTCTTCCAGCTCAGGATCTTACTGTTCCAAACTGAAGGCTGTGCTGGGCTCCTCCACCCCACCGTTGTGCCTCTGACAAACTTTCCAGCTCCACTACTAACACGAAGCTCCTCAGTTTAATTTAATGCCAACACAGTGGGGGGGCCACTTGTCCTCCTCCCTGCACTGGCCGGCGGGTGGGATTTGGGATCCTGCCTGAACGCAAGGAGCTCCCTGCTTCCCCCCCCGGGAGTCCCTCACGCTGGTGACCCCTAACCAACATTCTTCTTCCAGTAGCCCAGGCTGGTGAGTCTTCTGCCAAGGACAAGAAGGAGCGTGGGCGGTCCCAGGAGAGGAAGCAGCACTCCTCCTCCTCCTCCGAGAAGCAGCGCTTCTACTCCTGCGACCGCTACGGCAGCCGGGAGCGCTCCCAGCCCAAGTCTGCAGAGCAGAGCAGGCCCACCTCCCCCAACGGGGGGCCAGAGCAAGGCCCACACAGACAGGTGAGGAGAGGCAGGGTGGGACAGCAGCCCTGAGGTCTCCCAGGGGTTGGTTTGTGCGCCTTTCCCGTGTTTTGCTTAAATGAATGGAGATGGAACGGGGAGGGGAGGCCAGGCAGGGGTGGATTGGGGTCTCCATCGGGGTCCTGCTTGGTGCTTCACACCTAAAACTGGCATGGAAATGTCACTTGATGGCTTTTGAGCGGCCACCTACACAGTGAGGGACTCGAGGCTTCTCAGAGACAGGATCACAGAATGTGCCGAGGTGGAAGGGACCCAAAATATCATCGAGTGTGACTCCTGGCCCTGCACTGGACCATCCCCAAGAGTCACACCATGTGCCCAAGGCCCCACTGCCAAGGGCATCCTTGCTAACACAACACAACAGCCTGGGGGACCCCACAATTGGCAGCTCTTGTCTTGGCACTTCAGAATGTTTCAGCAGGAAGTGATTTGTTGGATGTTTTGAACAAAGACCTCGACATTTTTTTACTATCGAGACCATTTCCTAGATAAAAAGTAGTTTGAAAATGCCTTAAAAAAAATTTAGGTGTCTCAGCACTTATCAAAACAATGTGGAATCACAGAATCATTAAGGTTGGAAAAGCCCTCCCAGACCATCAAGTCCAAGCTGTGCCCAATGCCCACCTTGTCCCCCAGCCCAGAGCACTCAGTGCCACATCCAGTCCTTCCTTGGACACCTCCAGGGATGGGGACTCCACCACCTCCCTGGGCAGCCCCTTCCAGTGCATAACAACCCTTTCCATGAGGAAATTCCTCCTGATATTCAAACTGAACCTTCCCTGGCACAACTTGAGGCCATTCCTTCTGCTGTCCCTTGTTCCCTGGGAGCAGAGCCCGACCCCCCCCCAGCTCCCCCCTCCTGTCAGGGAGTTTCAGAGAGCCAGAAGGTCCCCCCTGAGCCTCCTTTTCTCCAGGCAGCCTCCAGCACTGCTGGATTTGCCAGGAAAACCACATGGGAAAAAACCCAGGCAGAGCAGAACAAGCACTGATTGACAGCCCGACAAGCAACAACCCGATTGTTTGATAGGAAGGAAAACTGCTCTTTAAAAATTAAAGGTCTGGTCTCAAAATGTTAGGTCACAAAAGGCTGAGGGATTTTTAAAACACTCTCACAGGGCTGCTCATGTACTGCCCTGGGAGAATGTAAACTCAAATGCCAAAACAAGGGCCTGTTCCTTTCACTCGTGGCATTTTTTTAAATTACTGCAGCTTAGGTCACTCTCACATGTCATTATTAGTAACCCAGGAAAGCTGCCAGGCTGTTCTACCACTCAAAAATCAAATGTGTGATATAAAAGAGGAGAAGGTGACACGTTTCTGTTAAAGGGAATTGTTAGTTCAAGCCTACCCAAAAACCTTTTTGTTGTTATTTTTTCAGAAAATGGCTATTTAATCAAAATACATGTAATTTCCAACGTACAAAAAAAACCAGTCCCCCAGATCCTCCTCCCACACAATCCGGTTCTGACCACAGAAATAGAATCACAGAATCCCAAAACGGTTTGGGTTGGAGCTTAAAGCTCATCTCGTTCCATCCCCCTGCCACGGGCAGGGACCCCTCCCACTAGACCAGCCCGACCCTCGGGTGAAGTTCTGCACAAACCCACCCCAAAGCAGATTTGGTTTTGTCTAAAATGCCCCAAACGAAGCAGGTTTTTGAGCTGCTCCTGCCCAGTCCAGGTAAGGCGCATGTGGAGCCTGTGTATGCTGTGGGTCCTTCCCCCCGGACAGTGTCCCCTCCTGTCGGAGCCGTGTCCCAGTTTGCGTCCTACCGATGCTCTGCCCCTCCCTGTCCTTACTCACCGCTCGCAGAACTTTGAACCCTCCAGCTCTTTTACATCTCGTGTTGAATTATTTCTGGAGAACCTCCTCCCCCTGACCGTGCTTGTCTAAACTCTCTCTTTTTTGCTTTTCTTCCCTCTTGTTGACTTGTCTCTCCCCTTCTGTTGCTTCTCCTTCTGTTTTACACCTGCCTGCCTTTGTGTTTGTCCGGTGTTTCCCCCTTTTTTATTTTTTGATTTGCTTTGTTCCAATTTTTATGTAGGGCAGTGGTTCAGTTAATGGGAGCCCCTTGCTGTCGACATCTGGTGCTAGTACCCCATGCCGGGGTCGGAGGCAGCTCCCACAGACTCCACTGACCCCACGCCCCAGCATCACTTACAAGACCGCTAACTCCTCGCCCGTGCACTTCACCAGTATCCAACCCGGCCTCCCCACCTTCTCCCCGGGACGCCTGAGCCGCGGTCTGTCGGAGCACAACGCGCTGCTCCGCGGGGAGCACCAGCCGCCCCCGCCGCCCGTGGCCCGCACCGGCTCCGACCCCTACCTGGGGCCCCGCGACGACGCCGACAGCCCCTCGCGCGCCGCGCCCGAGGACACGCTCACCTTCGAGGAGGCCGTGGCCACCAACTCGGGGCGCTCCTCAAGGACTTCCTACGTCTCCTCCCTGACCTCCCAGTCGCACCAAATCCGCCGCGTGCCCAACGGCTACCACTACACGCTGGGGCTCAACACGGGCCCCGGCGCCGGCGCCAGAGGACGTAGCTACTACCACGAAGCCGACGAGGACGACTGGTGCTAGCGGCCTGGCAGAGCCCTCTGCAGCGCGCGGGTTTAATTATGATGAGTTTTATCATCTGGAAGGCCGGCGGGGCAGCCCCTGCCACGAGAACTGCTCTGCGCCCCCGGGGCCGGAGACGCTCCTGCAGCCTCTCTCCTCTCTTTGTTCTTTATTTATTTTTTTTTCTTTTTTTAATTTATTTTTTATTTTTTTTTGCACTAGACAAATGGAGGAAGAAGGCTCCCTCCTTTGGGGGAAGGCAGCACATCTCTCTGTCCCCCCCTGGCCCGCCTCCCCACTGCCCTGTCCAGTCACAGACACGCACCAGATGCCAAACTGGCGACAGAGGCGAGAAGCCGAGAGAAGAGGGATCCTCACCTTCAGTGGTGGAAGAGCAGACTGTCCATCCTTCCTGAGATCGGCGCAGTTTTTGTTGGGCTATTTCTCAGTTAATTTATCAGCATCATTTTTTCCCCTCCCCTGTCAGGGTGGGAGTCGGGGGTCGCAGAGGACACACGGGGACAAGGATCACGCCCGCGCTCGGCCCCGTCGGCCGCTCCGAAGGGAGAGATGTACCCGAGCAACTGGGAGAGGAGAAACACAGCCCGGAACAAAGGACAGTCCATTGGGACTTGATGTTCAGCCACAGGAATTCCTTTTTGGCAGAGCTGGTGCCACCCCCCCCAGAGGTGACCCCGGCAGCCGGGGCCCTGCTGTGACAGCGCTGCCCTGGGGGTCCCTCTCACCCCACCCACCACATCCGGTCCTTCACACTGACACACCATAAAGCCACAAGAGAGCTACTTTGTAAGGACTGTTTTCCTTGCTGCTGAGACTTTCCATTCCGCCCCTCTCTGCAACACGCCCCTCACTGTTTTGTCTTGTTTACAATATAAGCTTGATTTAGCAAAAAAAAAAAACAAAAAAAAAAAAAAAAAAAAACCACAACTAAAAAAAGAAAAACCTGAAGGGAAAAAAAGGAGAAAAAAAAAAAAAAAAGAGGAAAAAGCGTAGGGGTGAGAAGAAGAAATGTTATTGGTTTTATATCAAGCTATTAGATAGAACTTTAACTTTTCATTGTGTGCATTTTTGTAAATTGTACAGTAAAAAAAAAAGAAAAAAAAAGAGAAAAAAAATTTACTCTTTATGTAGAGAATTAGTCCAATTGTCATTCCAGGTCCCACCGTTTCTACCGAATGCTCCAGTTGTTCACTACTAAGTGCCTAACCTTTGAAATCTTTCACAGTGACGATGCAACCTCTTTGCTTCGATGCATCAGACCTTGGGCGAGCGTGGGGAGGGCAGGAGGGGCAGGAGGGAGGGCAGAGCCCGGAGAGCCCCTCACCCTGGAGGGTCCACAGGGCTCCCACCGCCCCAACAGTGCACTCGAGTGCCAGGTTGGAAGCTTCCAGCGGGGAAGGCAAACACGCTTTGGGGTCGGTTTGGGTTTTGTTGGCCTTTTTTTTAAATTTATTATTTGATTTGATTTGATTTGGTTTTATCGGTGGGAGGGGAGTGATTGCAGCAAACAAACCCGGCCTTTTCGCATTGACTAGTGCTGAGGGAGGGATGCAGGTGGAAAAGTCCAGCATCTGCAGGGATGCTCTTGCAGGAGGGGCAGCGTCTCACCCGGACTGTGAGAGCTCTGGCCGTGCTCCTTGGGGCATCATCTGTGTGGAGGGCAGTTGGAGTGAGCCTTGGATTTATTACCTGTTAAGAGAAGGTCAAAATAATAATAATAATAATAATACTAATAATAATCAAAACCTCTAACTCTGATTCTCAGGGATGAGATTTCTGTGTTCTTGCAACAACTCTTGCGTTGGATGATTTCTTTCTTCTGTGGCCCTGTGGATTTCTGCACTGTGAGCCTGGCAAAGGGGCAAACACACTGTGCTGGCGGGGAGGGAGGCTGGAAGCAAAGCTTGGGCAGGACCTCCCATCCCTGGCTCTGCTGAGCCGTTGTAGGGCTGGTTTGGGGCTCAGGGTGGCCAGAGGACACAAGGAATAAAGGTGGAAGGAAGAAGGGTGGGAGGTGCCAGACGAGCACATCCCTAAAAACCTTGTTAGGAAGGAGGAGAAGGTTCCACAGAGGAATTGTTTCAGAGGATCTCCCAAGCCCCAGAACTGTGAAGCTTCTCCAGATGAAGCAGTTGCTTAGGACAGGGAGAGATCCCGCTGGATCCCGGTGATCCCGTTTGGCACTGGGGAGGTTGGAGGGTATTGGATGCTACCAAAACGCTCAGGAGGTCTCTCGTGCTCTCAGCAAAAGCCTTTCAGCCTCAGGCAGGGAGCAGTTTGCTGTAGGGTGGTTCTTCACATCTCCTGTAGCTCTTCTGTTGAGGAAATTCAACCTGTTTTGGGGTTTTTCTTTTCCGTTTCCTTCCGTGTTGTTTTTTTTTCCTTTCGTTCCGTTAATAACAACCTCTGGCCGATCTCATCCCTGGATTCTGCTGAAGGAGAACTCCTGTCTGTATCTCTGTCTCTGTATTTTCCTGTGCACTTCCAATCACGGCAGCGTGGCAGCCGGAGCTCCCCGTGGGCCGGGCTGGGATTCCCAAAAGGAGGGCTATGCAACAAGATGACACGTTCGGACACACATCCAAACCACCAACAGTCAGAAAGACCTTCCATCCATCCCGTAGCTTTATCTGCTGGATTTTCCTGTTTCAGGCTTCAGCATGATTGTGACCAAATGTTTGATACGTTTATTTTTTTTTTTTCCTCCCTTAAACGAAGGCACAAACACTTTATTTGAGAGTTTTCAAGAAAACGTTCCTCTTTTACTCCAGGAGGTTGAAGGGGAGGGGAAACACAAAATCTCTCTGCCCGTGCATGCAAACGTTGTAAAAAAAAATGGGAAGCAAAAGAGATGTCTTTCTGTACGGAATAATTCTGTCTTTTCCCCCTTCCTGTCCCATTTTAGACCCCCCAAACCCCCAGCCCTGCACTAAAACATGGCCTTGGGTCACCCCCAATTCTTAGGCAGAACATGAAGAAGAATTTTAAGTTGTCTAAGTCCTCCACCCACCTTGCAGGGGTCGCTGACAGTGACAGCCAAGCCTGACCACAACTGTTCATAACCCCCCCCGACCTTTTTTTACAGCCTCTCTGCTGTTTCTTCAACGCATCCATAATATTTCCAAGATTCCTCATAGTGAGTTGCCAAACTTGAATTGCACCGATCAGTTTTCTGCATCCAGAACCAGTCTCGTAGTGGCTGTACTTTGAATTAAGTAATGTTTGCATGTAAAATATATACATATATACATATATATAAAAGGAAACGAGAAAAAAAAAAGTATGTGCATGGAAAAAAAATGTTTATCTTCGTACTTTTTTGATACAATGTATTCATCAGTTGTTAATTTTTAATTATATTTGATATAAATTGGGGGTTTGTTGCAAAAACTTTATATTTAAAAAAAACAGTGTTAAAAATGATCGAAGTTCCGACCATGCAACACGAGCGGAACTTTACCCAAAAAAATAAAAAGGAGGGAACAAAAAAAAAAACGCAAGGAGAAAAAAAAAAAAAAGGTTCTGTGATTGCCTAGTTTGCTGCCTGAGTAATATTTATCAGCCAAACTTTGAATTCTGCAGTTGTTTCTACAATTAACATTTTGTATGAAGCAAAGTCCTTGAATTAAAAATAAAAACTTAGCAAAAAAAAAAAAAAAAAACCAAACCTGACAAATTCCCAGCCGGTGTGTGCAGTGTGGTGGTGACCGGGGAGAGCCGTGGAGGGACAGCCTGTGCCAGCCAGTGTGAAACTGGGCTCAGTTCTGCCCAAACTGGGATGTTCTCAAGGAATTGGCCACTTTTTGTGTTTGTTTCCGGAGAGGCTTCACAGAGGCTCGGTTTGAGTAGGGAGCTCTTTGCAAATTTGCCTTCCCGGTGTGGATCCAGTTGGAGGTTCCTGGAGTCCAGCAGGCAGCAAAACTGTAGGATTTAAGCTTAATCACCCCAGCAGTGATTGATTCCTTCCAGGGTTTCAGCAGAGGGATTGTTATCTTGTAGAACACTCTCCCAGGTTGCCCATCCCTGGAGACATTCCAGGTCAGGTTGGATTGGGCTCTGAGCAGCCTGATCTATGGGAAGATGTCCCTGCTCACCCCAAAAGGGTTGGACTGGATGGCCTTTAAAGGTCCCTTCCACCCCAAACTGTTCTGTGTGCAAAAATGTGGCTCCCTTTGGCTTTAACCCTGATTCAACCCTAAGCTCACTCATAGCAGATGTTCTTGGTGCTACCTCAGGTAGCCAGAAAATCATGGATTGGTGTCAGAAGTCTGTCATGTGTCCAGGCCGTGCTGTAGCACTTGTACAAAAAAAGAATTAATAATAATAATAGTAATAGTAATACTTGTGGAGTTCACCTTGAAGTTCCTTCTCCCAAGACTTGCACTGAGCAGAAGTAAAACCCAAGGGCTCTTGGTACACAAGGAAGGAACTTCTCGTTTCTTTGGATAACTGGAGAACCACCCTCATTCCCTGCCGGGGGAGAAATCCACTGTGTTTCTCCTTCATCAGGGTCTGCTGGTGTCACACTTCTGACAATGCCAAGGACTCTCCAAAAATTCTCCAGGACAATGAACAGCAGCAGGACCGTTGCATTTTTGCACTTTTCAGAGCACAAGGTCTGTTTTAATGTCTGACTCTTCTTCTCTCTTGTTGCATCATTTCTGTGATGAGACCACCCAAGGTCCCACCTGAGATTCGGTGTGGAATGGAAGGAAAAGGTCCTGAAATCCCTGATGATCAGGTCAGGCTGTAGCTTTGGAAGGAAAAGGTTTTTCTTGAGGTCACACAGGACATGATTAGTGGGGTTTGGAGCAGAAGATCTCGACTTGTGATCTGGTCTGTGCGGGGCTTGGGGCTCCAGGGCAGGACAACAGTGGAGCAGAGGGGAGAAGAGTAGGATTTTTATTACTTTTAAGAGCATTACTTTTGAGATATCCCAAACAAAGGCAGAGTGGAGGTTTCTGAGCAGCGTACAAGGGAAGGTTTGCAAAGGTTTGCACGAGAGCTGAGGATCAGGATCAATGTGCACCCCCACCTCAGAGGGGACCCCCACGGTCCCTCCACACCCACCTGGGGAGCTGGAACCTGCCTGGAGGACTGGATGAACCCCCTTTCCCCTCCAGATGTGTATCACAGAGAACCTCCACAACCAGTTTACAACCCTACATATGTTTTAAAATCCTAAAAGCCTTTTGGTGACTTTCTGCACTTTTAGAGTATTTTTTATTTCTTTTTTTTTTGATTTCTCCCTCCTGATTTCAGTTGTATCCTTTTGGTCTGAGGCATCAACGCACCATCAGCTTCTCCAGGGACTGCCTGAGTCCTGAAGGAGCTGGAGCAGGCAGGATCCCCACTGCCACACTCAAAGCATCTCCCACATCCCAGACACTGGATGTGGAACCCTCGGGTTTGTTTTGCTCCGGTTTGATTTCAGCTGAATTCCACAAAATGGCTCTATTTTTACACCATTCCTGGTATAACTCCATGCACAGCTGCTGTCAGGGGGTCTGCACAAGTTCTCTTCCCCCCAGGGGCACATCTTGCTAGCAGAGACTGCTGTATTTCCATCCCCTGTATTTCCATTCCCTGTATCTCCACTCCCAGCCCTGTGGATAAAATCCGGATCAGCATTTCCCACGCCAGCACCCCACACCCGGTTGTGCCATTAGGGGGTAGCATTTTCAGGCTTTTCCTGCTTTCTAGGGAAACAACAACATAAATGGAAAAAGCCTGATTCATCTTGCCACTCTTTGAGGGTCGTTCCCTGAAATATTTGTCTTAGGATGCAGAAAACTCAGGGTGAGACACCGAGTCCAAAGTGCTCAGGTAATTTGGCCTTTTGTATTCCCTGGAGCTGATTTCCCATTCCAGCCACGTCTGTAGACGGTGCCTGCAGATTCCTGCATGCCCTCCAAGGTGATGAATTATTTCTCCCAGAGTATCTCATCCCTCTTTATCAATTCTAAGTAGATCACCTGATATTTTCCGGGCTGTGAAAACACCGTTTGCAGAAAGTGCCTGATCACATCAAGGAGCCTCAACTCAACGCTGACCCTCAGCACATTCCAAAATATTTTTGCAGAAGAGGCGAGTTTTGCATTTTTGTGTGATAAAAAAGAGTAAACTGAGATACTTGGAGGGGACTGAATTGCCCAGGGTCACTCGGCAAGGACAAGGTTGGGGTTGCTCTGCCTCCTTTGTGTCTCCGTGTTTCAGATCACCAGTGTGTCCATGATGTTTTTGCATCCACAGGTTTGTAGTAGGATCCCAGTGAGCTGTCACTGGGAATTGGGCATCTCCCTGGGAGATGTGTTGGTTGATTGGGGGGAATTTAAAGGGAAGGGTAATTTGAGGAAGCAGTGAGAGAAGTGCTGGTGGTGGTGATAGGGGTGAGGAGCTCTGTGGTGACCCTGAGGGGTCTCAAGTATTTGTGGGGCTGAAGTCCTGGGGTGGGTGAGGGAACTGCTGAGGGTGTTTGAGAAGGGAGGTCTGAGCAAACCAACCCCCAGGTGAGGGGATGGAAACACCAGCACAGAGCCCCTCCACCCAGCTGGGACACGCTGATGGAGCAGAGCTGTGTTAATTCAAAGCAAACAGTATCAATAACCGTAGTTTATTCATTTTATCCTCATCTCCACTTTCTGTCATTGCTCTGAAACAGAATATCCCAGCACTGGCTTTGTCTGTGTCTGTTTTTATTATTTCTCTCTCTGTGGCAGCCTTTTCTCTGCCCAGCACGGCACAAACAGAGGAGGAGGAGGAGGAGGAGGAGGAGGAGGAGGCAGGTCCTTGTCCAGCTACTCCTGCACAAAAGTCTGACATATCCACAGAGGTGTAAACCCAAATTTTCTCACAGAAGGCTGAGGAGGGGAATGGATGCAGTCGTGTTACTGGATACAGCAAATGATAGTGTGTACAAAAAAAGGATGCTGAGCTGAGCAACAGGACTGTGGCAGAATAATTCTATGAATTTTACAAGGTTTTCTTCCTCCTCGTGGATTAGAGAGTGTTTAAATGACTGGGTTTTACCTGTGATCCTAAAAAAGACCTGGTTCTGCAGGTGATCCACCCAAACAACCTCCTCCTGCAGTGGGGTGGTGGGACGTGCACGGAGCTGAGGGCAGAGCCCCCAGGTCCCAAAGCTGAGATGCCAAGGGATGGGATGGGGGATGTGCTGCTGGGACAGATGGTCACAGCTTGGGAATCAATGGGATTCAGAAAGGAAAGGCAAACCCGTGTCACATGTTCTTGACAAATAAAGTCCATGGCAAAGCAAAAGACTCCAGGAGTGTCTCTGACCTTCATTTCCTTGACAAGCTGAGTCAGTGTGTGACAGGAAAAGGGCTGGAAATGGGGAGAGAGGGGTGAGTGCGACACATTTTGCTCCTAAATTGGCTCCTGCCTCAAGCAGCAATCGGGATTTAAGGGGAGGATCTCACAGAATCCTCATTTCCCAGTGCCATGGGACACCCAGGTGACACACTGGGCACCTGAGCATCTCCGGCTCTCTGCCAGGGCTGCCCACCCAAAGGCAGGGGTGTCCGGCTGCCCCTTGCTGAAGGTTCCCATATCTTGGGGATCTCTGGGTGATGGTGCAGAGAGGGTTGGGAGTGAGCCTGGCTCCTCCTCGGGTCTGAGCCAAAACCCCCACAGGGCGTCTGTGGCTTTGTGACATGGGGATTTGTCACATGGGGGGAGCAGTGTGGCCTCAGGAGTGATACTGGTGGCACTGGAGAGCTGAGTGTGGGGCACAGAGCGGGGGCTGCAGTGGGGCACTGCAGGGCACAGTGCAGGTGTGGGGTGGAGAGCAGGGAAACTCACCTTAGGGGTGCCAGTCTGCCATGGTGGCATGGCTGGGGGGGACCCTGCCATGGTGTGAGGGTTGGGCAGGACCTGGGCTGGGTCAGGTGTACCCCAGTAATCCCAGGAAGGGGGTGAACTGGCCCAGACTCTGCAGAAAGGGGGGGTTATACCCATGGGACCAGTACAGCTCTCACTGGAGAACTGGGGTTGCCTCACTCACCCCAAAATGCCCCAGTGGGAAGCTGCTGTGTCCTGCCCCCCTGCAGGAGCAGGGTTGGGTGCCCCCGGGGGGAGGTTGGGGCACAGTTTGGGGGAGTGAGACCCCCTGAGAAACACTCACAGCAAGTTTTACCTGGGGAGGGTGCAGGAGGTCCCCTTTAGCTATAGAGGGCAGACTAGGGGGTGTCACCAACCCCTGCAGCACCCGCGGGACGAACAACCCTGTGTGTTTGTGTGGGGGGTGTCTGTCTGTCTGTCTGTGCACTGCCCCGCGTAGCCCCGCATTCGGGGGGAAAGGGGACTCCCATCCCCAAGGTCTGAACCCCCGGGGGGCGCTGGAAGCGCGTCTGATTTTGGGGTGGGGGGATGAAGGGGGGCATTAACTCCTGAGCACTGGGGGATGTTGCAAGCCCGTCTGTTTTTGGGGCGTGGGGAGAATGATATTGGACATCAACCCCTGAGCGCCGGGGGGCCTTGGAAGTGCATCTGATTTTGAGGAGGTGGGTGATGGGGGGCATTAACCCCTGCAGCGTCGGGGGGCCTTGGAAGCCCGTCTGATTTTGGGGTGGGGGGGATGTTGGGGGGATGATGGGGGGCATTAACCCCTGCAGCGCCGGGGGGCGTTGGAAGCCCGTCTGCT